ATTGCGTGTAAATGATATTAATTGCGTGTAACAAGCAATAGAAGGACTTACACCATGTGATGCCGTATGAACGCTTATTTTCTTTGGTGAGCATCGTAGAAACACGTGAACATGAATGGAGTCAGACAAGTTAACGTGAAACAATGTGTAACGACTAATAACAGTACTCATTCACTAATTACGAGACTATACGAGATCCTATTGCAACGTTCGCTCACCTATGCCAACAAAATCATTTTTTTTTTTTGACATACTCAGAGATTTATGCTCTACATGTCGCGGGCCTGATCAAATCATCTCGCGGGCCGGATCCGGCCCGCGGGCCGTATGTTTGACACCCCTGGTCTAACACGAGGTAGAGTAGACTGGTACACTTTACCGACCACTCCTGCCATTGTCAATGGTGACAAATTTTTTTATATTTATTTATGAGAGGTGAACTCGATTTGGAACCAGCAAACCAGCAAGTTCACCCCTACATTTTGGTATTTTTATTCCATTAATTATTTTGAATTTTCCGATGGCCTTGCCCATGCAAAACAAACATTTTCACCCCACATGCAGTGCTTCAAATTTACACACAGTGTCCCAGATTGCATCTCAGAGCTTCTACAATTCAAAAATTTTGCGGGGGGCATGCCCCCGTACCCCCCTAGCAGTGAGTAGCACCCCCCATCCTATATTTTCAAAGCTTGGATAACCCTGTTTTCTACTCTATTTCGCCTATAATCACCTGTAAATGCCCGTCAAATGCTCATCTGAAACACACAAGTATACCGCACGCCCGCGCTGTGCACAAACAACATGAATAACTAAGAGAGATATGAGAATTCTCTATCTATCTATCTATAGATATCTATAGATAATCTATAGATCTATATGAGAAATATCTATAACAGATATATGAGAATTCTCTCTTAAATTCATGTTGTTTGTGCACAGCGCGGGCGTGCGGTGTACTTGTGTGTTGCAGATGAGCATTTGACCGGCATTTACAGGTGATTATAGGCGAAATAGAGTAGAGAAACATTAAGACTTTGGTAGTAAATACATTTCGTGTTTATTATTATTTTTTTATTGAGACGTTCCAAGTGCCTGTGATAGTTACGGCACATGAAAATTGTAAGTGCATCAAAATAAATTACAATCGGCATGGCTGTATTATGTATAGCTGGATGAATACTTAATTCAGAACAGTTTGAATTATCCCAGTATCTTATCTTCATGACAAGCGAACATACCGCTAAAGGATACAATAATGTAACCCAACAAGAGTGGTGCAACACCGCAGGTCAGCAGTGCAGTTATGAAATGATGCTTGTTGCCAGCTATACGGTAACCCTAAAGCGTAACTTTAGGCTATAAACTTACTACAAAAGTCCCTGTCACTGAGCGTACCGGGTTGATTCTTTACAACATAAGGAAGTTGCGCTAGATTTACCCTACATTGGGTTACCGCATAACTTCCAACGTATTTGCTGCACCGAATTATCGTTAGATTCATTCCCTGGGCATCGTTGTTTTTAGGTTAGGTTAAAGTGTGTACCGCGAGAATTTTCTAGTGTTTTCCCCACTTTCATGATACCTACCGTTAATGCTTGAGTAACAGCAATTGTCTAGAGTAACGATAAAATGTCTTAGAACCTTCGTATTCACCAAATCCAATGAAATCATGCACGATTAAAATTTTGTGTTCTCTTTCTGTTTACCGTTGCCATCTCTCGAATTTTCTCGTGGTAGCGCGAGACATCTATCACGGTGCAGCAATGCATACCACGCACCGTAGAAATCAGATCAGAGTGTAAACACAGCCGCTCATAGTACTAGCGTAAACAGCAGTGTAGTACTAATGCCACGTAAAGTCTGTTATTAGAGAAGCTTGTGGATTGCCAGTCAGATAGTACCAAGGGGAATGACAATGACAGAAAGTGCTCTGAATTATTGACATAAAAACTCAATAATATTTATTAAACAGAATTGCACGCCCTTTTGTTTTAATTATGTTCGCTTGTTTGAGACGCCATTTGTAATTTTTGAGTGTCACTACTCGGAAAAATTTATTGTTTATTTCGAAAAAAAATTTCTATGCTATAACTGCATAAAATCTTGGTGTTTTGAATGTTGGTATAATCAGTGATATTTCCACTGTCAGCCTGTCAGGTGAGACTATATCTGCTATATTTCGTTTTTCTGAGCCAAAAAACTCGCGGTACACACTTTAAGAGTTAGGGTAATTGTTTAGAAAACGTTTTTAATTTTAGTACCATTCATTATTTAGTGTAGAGCATGTATCAAAAGTTATACGGTACCACATCAGTGCCCCATGATCATTATCATGACCGTGTTACTAGGTTTTGTACCCGATCCACAGTTGTGTGTGTATTGATTTGATTTTTAATTATTTCATTTGTAGAACGCTCCAGCAATCTGTTGCTGCCAAGGTGAGGTCCCATGCCCGAATTACACATGACTCCCATGTCATCCTTGAAAAAGGGAACACTACTACAGTGTACGAACTATCTGCTTCGGCCCAGTACTGAATTCCTGCAGATTTTGAAAAAGACCGGTGCAACTGGGCTGACTTTTACCAGAAAAGAGGTACTAAATGTATGCTTAATTATGAGTTGATACGTCCGTTATGTAAAGAAGAAAACGGGCGTTACTTTCCACGAAAACCATCCTGAATAACTGGTAATAGAATGTATACCTTATTCATTGTAGCAAACCGTTCTTGTAAATTGTTAGCAAACCGTTAGCAAACCGTAGCAAATTGTTAGCAAATTGTTCTTGTAATAAATGAGCATCACTGCAGAGCAGTAGTAGTAAAACTTTGCTCCTCTAATATAATATCGTAGTCAGAATAGTTGGCATGCACATAATCCCAGGCAAGTTAGTAGTCGAGTAATAATTATAATAATTAGAGCAATAATAATGTTTCATAACATTAAATACAGACAACTGTTGCATGTTTGCAATGACCTACATATAAGTCTTCGCATAGATACGGCACCATACACCCTTCAACAAACAAACAACCTAATCATATATATATGTGAGTTCATGTGTTCAGAGATATTTTGTGTGAGTTTGAACAGCATTAATAATTGCTGAGATAGTTAGTAGTAGATCTTATTAGTAATGGTTGTGTATCTGCCATTGGTATACACATATAATATATATATATACCTAATATGGTATATATATCATGTTCAGCTTGTTACTTCCATGTAGTGAGAATATATATGCATTAAGTTGTGTGTGAGACTTTGTATGTCACATGCCTTCATTGTCTTGTACGTTTCTGTGAGGTTTTGCAAAGCAGGTCGTTGCCCCCAGCTGTTCTCTTCTTGATTACACGCAGTGAATGACACATGCAGAGCATGTTCAAACTTGCACACACCGCTTTCTGCACTAGTCCTCACCATAAACACACACACTGTCACGAGTACACCCCGAGTGAGAGAGAGCTGCTCCGAAGGTTTTGTCAGTTATTTTTGCTTCGTAATTGTGATTTTCGATAAAAGTGACGTGTCAGCGTAGGCGTTCTTGTAAGGAATAGCTTGCAGATCGCTTTCGCAGAGTTGCGCATGCGCACGTAAGTATTTTTTATTTATACGTTAGCGTGTGTTAGAAAACCCCTTGTAAGCTTGAATCATGTTGGAACATGTTCGGTTCGTGTACCAACTAGTACCACTGCGAGGGAAATTGTTATATATCGTTTTACTTTATATAGCATGATATGTTTTGTAGATGTGAACTTTGTTTAAAAGCGATAACACTGCTCTTGCGTTTTTTTAAAGTTTAATATAATTGAAAAATTAAATAAAAATGTTCATTTAACAGTCGACCAACATTGCTATGAATTCTCTCGTCATTGCTTTGTGCTTCCCTTAACGGTATTACTGAAATTGGTGCACGGAAACAGTAACTAAACCGATAATGAAATCTGAAATCTAGCAATCCTTTATCATTTCAAGGATGACTAAAATATTTTATCTGCCTTCAGATTGGTTTATTCACATGTGATTAAAGTTTGCGAAAGATTTGCCTGTAGTTAAAATCTGAACAGGATTAGTAAAGTACATTACTAGCTTAAAGAGTCAAAACAGAAAACAGTTAAATAATTAAAAACAGCGGGTGTGTGTAGGTGCTATTATTAGCTGTAGTTCTACTGGGTTAGTATTTTATTTGCTGAATTTTGTTATGACAGACAGTTTTGAGCATGTTTGACAGTGTTTGTTATGATCAAACTTTGCACGTATTCTGTCTTGCAGCTTTTCCACCATCTTAAGGAGTATATTGGTGGCAAGCAGCTCTATGATCCGTCCAACCCACGCATCATCTATTGCGATGAGGACCTCAGCGTAGTGTTCGGCGTGAAATCCTTCACCATCGAAGATGTCATGTATGCCCATCATTGATGTGTGTGCGTGTGCGTGCGTGCGTGCGTTCGTGCATGCGTGCAAGTATGCGTGCGTGTGCATGCGTGAATAGATAGATGTTCCTAATAATGTAATTTGGCTACATATTTTCTCTCATTAATAATATGGTTTGTCATGTAAACATCTATTATACATGTAAATGTGCATATATATGAAAATGAAAAGTGATTCCTTAAATTGTATCACTCCGAACGCCGAAGTTGTTGACATCTGTTATCGTGAACAAATTACACGAATAATCTCTCATTAAATTGGCGTTTTTATCTTGACATTTGTATTTTTCCTCATCTTCTTACTGTTGGTGTCATCCTTGCAGGGGTTTGGTTGCTAGGCACACCAGCTTGGTGGTAGACCCAGCCTGTACCAAGGAAAGCAAGGCTGAACCGACTCCATCCCCGGATTCTCATCTCGTTGGCAACAGCCAGCCTCCGAAACGCAAGAGGACGAGCAGTGGTGAGGAAAACAGTAGCAGCGGAGGCTGGGCGGTGCAGGGGCGAGCTGGGCGTGGCACTGGGCGTGGCACGAGTGACGCATCGTCACGCACGCGCGGTGGCGCTACGATCGGTAGACCTGTGTGGCAGGAGGTGTGACTCTATCAGGGAGCAGTAAACATCACGGTGGGGGGTGTTCGCTTGATAGTTGTACGTATAGTGAGTGAGGAGGACCGTGGCACGTCGGTAAGCGTGGTCTTGTCATAGAGTCGGTCGCCGAACGATCGTAGAGTTGCCACCGCGCGAACTCACGTCGCCGATAGCTGCGCGGTTGGTAGCCTGCAGAGTGCTGCCACCTGGTGGGGGTTAGAACCCCGTGAGTGAGCGGTGCCACGCTCCACGCTCGTCTGCCACTCACTCGTCCGTAGTCTGTCGCCGAGTTCGCTACTACTGCTGTGTGTGTATGGCTTCATAGCCGAAGCAGAGACAGGTTGTCACGACTAGGTGAGAAATCGACGCACTGCAGTGACATCCGCACAGGTGAGTGTTAGCGGACAGGAGGGAGGCGTGATGCGTCGTCGGACCATGCGTAGAGCTGTCACGAGTTTGCTGTTCTAGCGCTTCCCAACAACCGGTCGGAGAAGGATGGTCCAGTGTTTAGTAACGGTTTACGAGATGCGTTGTCGTGAGATGCAGCAGGATTTACGTGGCGACGTAAAATCATGTTTGATTGGTAGGATTGCGCTGTTTTGTAACCATCATGTGACAGTTTACATGCGATGATCCCACAACTTGTTGACGTTTATCGTGTGACAGAACCAATTCCTACAGCTTTATTCCCACAGGTTATCTCTTTCCACGACCTCCGTAAGTAACGATGACAGTTTGAACTTGTGACAGTGAGAGTGAGCACTTAGCTTGTCCAACGTTTGTGTTTGCAGACAAGTCGAAGAGTCCCGCTCATTCAACTTCATCCAGCGATAACAAGAGTAAGAAGCACGCCAGTCTCAGTGTAGTGCACCACAGCGACGATGATGGCAGCAGCGGCGGCATGCCCTGGTACTTCAACGTACAAGTTCACACGTCCGACAGCGAAGTACTGAGTGTGCAGGTGGGTATAACGACATACCTTTGATGTGTGTGAGGTGTGGTATCGCACACTTTGCTACCTGTGTGTGAACGCATACCACACGTCTCCTCGAGTTAATTGCAAAACCATGTTTTTGTGCATGTATTCATTCATTTCGTGTCATTCATTTAATTGTCGGGGTTCAACTTAAGAGCCACAACTTTTTTTTTCAAAAATCGAAATTTTTAAAAGGGTTAATGTGTTGACTGCCAGGGATGCAGCCTTTCATTGTAAGGGTATGGTATTTATATACCACACATCTTCTTGACACTTCAGTGTAGAAATGATGTGATTTTCTAGTGTTCGTGCGGGTGACATAACTGCAATACTTGCATGGAAGCAGCGAGGGTGAGATAATCATTGTCACGGGTTGATTGCAGGGATATGAGACAGCAGTGATAGAGAGTGAAGCAGTGAGTGTGAGATAATCATTGTCACGGGTTATGATAGAGAGTGAAGCAGTGAGTGTGAGATAATCATTGTCACGGGTTGATTGCAGGGATATGAGACAGCAGTGATAGAGAGTGAAGCAGACGGCAGTCAGATCACCGTATCAACTCTATACTGGGACGACGAAGACGTCGGTAACCACGACGACGATTGTTTCTCAATAGAGTACGAACTGGAGTCGTCGTGTAGTGACGTCAGCGTGTCAGATGACGTCACGACCGATTCTGACTGTTCGGAGGTTCGTAGCCTCACGACTCTCACTCCTCGTATCCATGGTTATGCGTGAACGACTTGTATGTGTGCGTACGGCTCGTAGAAAATCTCCCTGAGGTTCACACGAATTTTTAGTCTAGTACTGGATCTTCTTAGTTGTTAGTTACGTTGACATGGTCTGGACTCGTATGGGCTGTTATAAGGTTTATAACTTCTTGGCTAAGTCACAGAACATGGGAATATCATAGTGCGAAGATTGATTTATAGCTGTGTAATATGCTTCTTAGTCACTACTTCCGTTATTGTGGATAGATCGCATGGCTGTCGTGTATGTAGGCACACCTCGTAGAAATGTAATTAATTTACAGGGCAGCCAATTAATAATTTGTAAAAGTAAATATCTTAACATGGTTGTATACCAGCGATTCCTCCCATGCAACGTACATGGCCTAGTGTTTTTGAACACTAACTTAAAAGAATAATAGGTCCATTGATTATGCAATGTTGACGAATGCTAGAGTAGCTAGCACCTTGTTTAGTTAATAAGTACATTACCTTATAGCCAAACGCGTATTAGTTTGTCCAATATCACTGCTGGTTACATTACAAACAAGACTTGAAATCATTAGTTGATATGTATCAACGTATCATTTACGTGCCGTAAATGTCATCCAGGAGTCAAGCGATGACGTAAATATTTGTGTGGCCCGTATGTTTTGGACGGCAGATGAAACGGAGGTGTCAGCGGTGTAACCACGGCCATGGACTAAACATGAAAATAGAGTAAAACACACGTACTAATCACGGACGCACGTGGACAGCCCTGACAAAAAGTTCCTTATCACGAGCGTCCATGTTTACGAAATCACTGATGATAGCATTGCGTACGGGCGAGCATGCGTGCGAAAATGTCCGGTGCACTATAAATCTGTATCACACCCTCTTCGCCGGCAGCGGTTTGAAACTGTAAACAGCTGATTTTTGGATTGCGGATTTCAATTAGACATTTCTTAGTAACCAGCAGTGATATTGGACAAACTAATACGCGTTTGGCTATAAGGTAATGTACTTATTAACTACACAAGGTGCCAGTTACTCTAGCATTCGTCAACACTGCATAATCAATGGACCTGTTATTCCTTTAACACTTATTATGATATTGATAATTATTAAATACAAAGATCGATGATAGATTATTTCTGCCCTAATATTTTAACTTACTACTAAATAATAATATTGAATAACGGATTAGGTAATGAATGTTGTATGCTGTTGTCTCGCGTTGCAGGATGTTGTCGGAGCGTTGTTCGTGTATGACGCCCATCACCACCACGACCCGGACGAATACTACCTCGCTGATTACTCCGATTCCGAGTCGGAAACCGACTCTTCTGATCCAGAAGTTTCCGACGCTGTAAGTTTATCATTGCCATGGCTGCGAACAATGTGATAGTAAACACGCGGGATGTGTTCTGAGTCGGATTACTGTTACCACGTGATCGGCAGATGCGATTAACTAGAGTGCAGGTTGAGTAATAATATTCCTACTCAGAACGTGAGATTGCTTTTACTGTGATTATGTATGTCAACCAGAGAATTACGTGAAAGGGTAAAGATCCAAAGCAAAATATTTTTTTGTAAAATACTTTAGACAAAAGACTTACACAAGTGCATCAATAATATCAGGATCGAGTTAATGAGACGAAGGAGTTTGACACGGATTTGGTACTGATTTCACTACATTTTTGTCATACGAGTTCGATGTGAATAAAAATACAAATGTATACAAACATGAGCTTCTTTTGTTCACTGGTCCTTATTCTATCTTTCGGTAGTATTACAAACCGCGTAGCTTCCTTCGTTTTGACATAAATCGTACTTTTGCACAACATGCAACATGGTTTTCACGTTATTTACCGTCGTGTGGCGAGGCCAAGCCGTAAATTCGCATACACCGCAACTGCAAGGAGGCGCGGCAGCCTGCAGGGCTTTTAGGCCGTAGTCTAGCCGAGTGCAGAAAATGCGCTTAGAAATTAAGTTACGTTACACCCATGCTTGGTTTAAAAATTAAAACTATTTTACATTGAAACTATAGTTAGAATGCCTTGTTTTTATGGTTGAATCCCGCAGTTCTTTTAAATAAACGCTGCGCTGGTAAAATATCTGAACTACTTCACCTGCGGAGAAATGATGTGTATGAATCGTTATGAGTAAATTGACGCTCCAGTTGCTTGTAGCTTTTCGCACATGTGTTTTGCATAGCAACTGTTACTATGCAATTGCAGGCAAACGCATGTGTTTACACCTTACTTATCATGACCATCTGTATGTGATAAAGGCGAGAGTTAACGTCGTCATCACTCGGCTTTGTTAGCCGAACAAAAACTTCTTCGGGAGATAACGTACGGGAGACGCGATCCCTGTCGCGCCTCCTTGCCGTTGCTGTGTATGCGAATTTACGGCTTGGCCTCGCCACACGACGGTAAATTACGTGAAAATCATGTCATGCAAAAGTACGATTTATGTCAAAACGAAGGAAGCTACGCAGTTTGTAATACTACCGGAAGATAGAATAAGGACCAGTGAACAAAAGAAGCTTATGTTTGTATACATTTGTATTTTTATTCACATCGAACTCGTATGACAAAAATGTAGTGAAATCAGTACCAAATCCGTGTCAAACTCCTTTGTCTCATTAACTCCTGATAATATCATGCTAGCAAGAAAGAGTTAATTGGAAAAATAAATATGCATCTATATTGCTTTTGATTTTAACAAATAAAAACCAAATGCATAATTTGATCAGAAATGAAAGATGTTAGGGTTAGGTAGTTTCATCGAAAATAAATTAATACTGCTAAATTAACATACTAAATCATGAATAGGCCACGCAATAATTTATTAAAAAGGTCGTTGCAGCTCTTGCTCTTGATGTAGATAACTGTATTGTGGTGTTGATTAGAGATCGAATCGAGCTCTATCAGGATTGGATGACTGACTATATTTATGATTTAATAATGTATCGTCAAAGCCACGTATGTGGACATCACACCACTGCCTAAATGACTACATCTCATCAATCCGTGAACATGACAAGAGCTAATAATACCTAGAGTGTACAACTGAAAAACGGGAAAATAGTGCTATTTCACGACATGATTATTCTACTTTGCCTGCGAGTCTAGAATAATTTTATAGTATTGCATTAAGCAGAATTCTTTGCTCTCTAAAACAAGACCAACCGCTTGTCAATACGATACTCCTAGGCTGAGATATTGGCTCGTAAACTTCCCCTCCCACAGGCCTCACGGCGCCTCGAATCCACATCAGTCAGCAACCTATACTCGCCCATAAGCATTTTGGCTATCGGTTTCCGTCACCACTTGGAGTGCTGATAATTGATGTCACATGCCCAAATTTGGTACTCTTACTACACCATATAGTAACTGAGCTGCGTTGTTGAGACTTAATTTAGAAAACATTGCCGGCTCCATCATGACGGGCATTAGCCGTGCTAGGAAAGATAATGGGAGATAAGGGCATAGCGATGCCCCCGAAAGTCACCTATGATAACCGAAACATCGTTCATTCATAAAGTTATCGCGGAAAAACCGAACTCACAAAGCAACCTTAGCGGCGAGTAGGTTGCTGACTGATGTGGATTCGAGGCGCCGTGAGGCCTGTGGGAGGGGAAGTTTACGAGCCAATATCTCAGCCTAGGAGTATCGTATTAACAAGCGGTTGGTCTTGTTTTAGAGAGCAAAGAATTCTGCTTAATGCAATACCATAAAATTATTCTAGACTCGCAGGCAAAGTAGAATAATCATGTCGTAAAATAGCACTATTTTCCCGTTTTTCCGTTGTACACTCTAGGTATCATAAGCTCTTGATTTTGACTGTTGAGTGATATAATAGAGGAAATGGAGCCTTTGGGTAGAAAATCCTGTTTATTCATTTGAATGATTACATAACATTTTGCAAATTTTCGTATCGCATTATGAATAAAGTGGCTGTAACTTTAATACTTATGCTAAAACGGAGATTACCTAGTTCTGGTAACTATATGATATTCTCCAATCTTAAAAAGACGATGTCAGTGACAACCACAGCAATGTCACTGACACTGAGACAGTTATAAATTATCTCCTGTATAATGGTCGGTAGCAATGTGTATTTCAGCTATACGCAGCCTGTTGCTGGAATTTCCCAGTAATGGCATTAATCTCCAGCCTAAGCCTAAGGGTGTCGTTAAACAAACTGCGACAATTTAGGCAATACGTTGTAAAGGGAGCATATTAAAGGGGATTCAGCCATCGGTGATAAATGTAAAGTAGACATACCATAATTTTTTATACAGTAACAATAGTACTACTTCTTAAACCTGTGGTGCTACTATATCCATAAAGTTGCTTTGCATTTTCTAATTCTTCATTATCACTTCAACATTTTAACATTCATAACGTGTGCAATCGCTATAGTGGATGGATTAGGGGACTTATAGTATTATCAAGAGCTAATAATACCATATTAGCTCTTAGTATTATACCATATTAGTATATTAGTATTACCATATTACCATATTATAGTATATTACCATATTCGTATTATTAGCTCTTGGTATTATCTAAATAGATGAAGAAGCAGAGAAGGTCAGTCGTAATGACTGAATAAAAATATGCAGAATGCCAGCCTCCTTGTCATAGTCATGCCCTATTGGCTGTTTTAGTGTTAAATAACTCTCGTAAGTGGATGGGTATGAGGTTTTACTATACAGGCATGAGTATTATCACGCACAGCACAATGAGCTGGAATTTGCATGATGTTGCTAATGTAATCATGACCGATGTAGTTTGTTTCTCGCATGGCATATATACCTTAGTCACTTGGCCAATTAACATCAGTGCTTGCTCCTGTAGTTGATGCATCAGTGCTTGCTCCTGTAGTTGATGCATCAGTGCTTGCTCCTGTAGTTGATGCATCAGTGCTTGCTCCTGTAGTTGATGCATCAGTGCTTGCTCTT